TTTCTTTCTTTCTTTCTTTCTTTCTTTCTTTCTTTCTTTCTTTCTTTCTTTCTTTCTTTCTTTCTTTCTTTCTTTCTTTCTTTCTTCTTCATCAGAATTATTGTGTAAAGGCCAAGAAAGATGTCTAGCGGGTTTACTGTACCAAGTGGCTCATTATGGTCTTGACATATTGGTCCATTTGATTGACCTTTATTATTATTATTATTGTTATGTATTTATTTTATTTTCAGTTGTTACAGATGGGACAGGCATGACTTGGGGATAGGACAGGGAGAAAGAAAGAATGAGAGAAAGAAAAACCGAGGGGAGAAGAGATAGTGAGAAAGGGGTTGAATAAAAAAATCATCTGGATCACCTGTCGAGAGAAGAAAAAACAAACAAGAGAGCAACATTATAAACACAACACCATCACAATAAACTAGCTAACAGTAAATAACAGTAGATACTAAATATTAAATGTTATTGTGCAGCACACAATGTGCTTTGAAGTAGCAGGCAAGAAAGGTGTAGTTTGTGTCTATGAACAGTGAACACCCGTGTGCACGCCTGTGTGGATCAACACGCTTGTATTCAAAAGGTTTCTCCATGTAATGATCTGCTAGGGCGTGTGGGGAGCCATAGCCCCGTCCCTCAGGGCATGAAGCAGGTATGGGGGAGATTGAGGCCCCAAAGTACGAGAACCCAAGGACGACCATCAGAGGGGCAACAGTGCCACCTGCCTGGGAAGAGCTGAGGAGAGCCTCAGACGCAGGGTCACCCAGCAGCCAGACGGGGCTGCAGTGATGTGTTCGCGGGCACTGCTGGCAGCCAGCAGTACCAGAGAGGACCGAGCCCCAGGCCCAGAGGACAGAGGCCTGAGGGCCCCCTAATCCCCGAAGGGGCCCAACTGGGCCACAGTTGTCAGGCCCCGCCAAGCGGTCACCAGGAGTGAGCTGGTACATACATGAGCGCCCAGCCCCAGACGCCAAGAACCACCAACGCATGTCTGACGGCATCAACAACCGGCAGGTAGGGGAGATAGGCCTCCACCTGTGGACATGGATGTGATGGGAACCTGAGATGTTCCCAGAGAGGTGGCGTCTGATACCTGACCTGACATACAGTATAGACACCGACGAACAGGCACACACAGACACAAATGTGCATTCCCTCATATGCACATAAACAAGTACTCACCCGACATGGAGACAGACACAAATAGACACTGTACATACAATCACACTTCCCAAACATACTCTATACCTCAGGTGCAGGTACCCTTTCTCCAAGAGAGGCAAACCACACCTAGACCCATGAGATGTAACCCTTTTCCCTGGGGTGGACGCAAGCAGACCGCCCCCATATCTGCAGTAGCAGGGACGCCCCGCATCCTGAACCCCAATCGGACGGCCAATACCTCCCAGCCCCGGCGGTCAACAGAGAATGGAGGTCAGTGAAGACCCCAAACCTCCCTCCGCCCGCTCATATGTAGTGTTGCTGCATGCTGTTCTAAAGTGCATTTAAAACATGATGCTTCCTACCAGAGAGCAGCACGGCTGATCCCGAAAACCCTCAGTGTCTATATGCATTTAAAATTGAGGGTAGGGCACCAGCGCCAGAGGTGGGTTTGAATACACAGACCATCCTCTGGATGCTGTATAACCCGCCCACCCCCAAAGCCATGTTTATTTCTGATTTAAAACTTGATACTTTAACATGGAATTGGCTTTCAGACTCAACCTCAATGGCTAAGTCTTATGACTATTTATTTTGCCTGGGAAATAATGCAAGGCAAAGACAGGCAAATCAGTCTTATGGTTTGAATGTGTTCAGTGGAATCATAGGCAAATAACTAGGGAGGGAAAAAAAACCCAACATGACTGGGCTGACAACCAACTCATTATCTACTCAACAGTGTGAAGTAAGTCATGTTTTAGACTGTATGAACAGGATTTACATTAAGCATGAAAGCAAAAAACAGATGAGTACACAGACAAACAGATTGTTTGCAGAAGTGGAAGTGAAAAACTCTCCCTGCAACACTGAGCGCATCATATTTGATATATGATACACTACCTCATACAGCAAAATTTTAAACCCTGATCCTCTTGTATGTTTTTGCTTAAGATGAGCAAATTATGAGTAATATGTTACACAAAAACGTTGCACAAATTAAAACTCATCTGCAAAATGACCTTTAATTTCTTTTTTAATTGCCAGAAGATTCAATGAACGCTCCAGTTTTCTAGAAAAAATTTGAATGTTCTGGCAAATTTTTCATTGTTAATGCTTTACAGGGCGAGGAAATCTGATGTGTATATCGTGTGATATTAAATGTTCAAATCTATGAAAACAAAAGAAGAAGTGGTGATGCATGACTGTCCTGCCAAGTTCCTCTCAAAAACAAAACTTTATCCTACAGCAATGATAATGTCTATGTGTTGCTTACCTTGGTGCTCTACTGGCACTGGCAAACTTGACAGTAGCATAATGGATTTTGTTTTCCTCTTCTTCTTCTTTCTTGTGCTTCTGGGCCTGAGCTGGGTTGATGTTGGAATAGAGAGGATCTGTCTGCTTCTTAGAAAACTGAATGCTGGCATACTGAAGGCTGCACTTCTGCTCTACTGGTTGCTTCTGTAGACACGACACATTTGTGATTCTCAGTACAACTGTGAGCCTAAGCCTGATGCAGTTCTCATGAATCATCAGTCAGTTTTCTGTAACTGACTACGGTAGCCTTTCAGCTTTAGTCTGCGAAATGTGAAACCACCTTTTGTACATGTATTGATCTTCCTGACCTGTGCACTTGTGCCTGGGCTCTCTGTAGGCTCAGGGAGCTTTCTTGGGATCTGCTTTTTCCTAGTTGGAGGAAGAAATAAAGGTTTAGATTGCTTAAACTAACTGAAAAGCTTTAAGTAAAATAATTTAAATGATATGGTACTCACCATATCGATAATAAAATCCACATGAGTATGACAACAAGAAGAATGCCAATCACTGTTCCAGCAATGATTTTCCACATTTCTGAGTAAGGGGGATAACATGAAAACTCTGTTACATACACTGTTATATATTATGTTTCCAACTTCTGGCACCATAGAATAACAAAGTGTTACTGCCCTTCAGACTCAGTGTAAAGCCAAGTTTCACCTTGTATAACTCATGAATACGTGTACTTTTACAACACTCAATGGAAGAACTGTTTCCTTCCAAAGTAGCTACCTAATGATAGATCAAATACATATACATATTTTCAGAACTTAGCTGGAAATCCTACACCTTTGCCCACCTACTTTTCTCCAAACCCTCTCCTCTTTCAGCTTCAGTGTGGGAATTCAAACTGGATTCAGACTGCAACAGCAATGATCAAGTCTGTCATGGTCCTGCGTCTGTGACCCAGGGTTTTGAGTTTTGGGAATGTTTAGCAAGTTTTTTTAATCTTTATATTATAGTTCTGTATTTGATATGTATTATCATTCAGGCTTTTATTATTATATGGCTAAGTTCATGTTCCAGGTTTTGGTTCTTTATTGTCATTCTGTTATGCACAGTGTTTGTATTTTATGGTCTTAGGTCTGTACGTTACTGTTATCATGCCTCCCTGTGTTCCATTTAACAAGTTCAGTCTTTCCTGTCTTTATTCACTGGTCCCTGTGTCAAGTCTACGTATCCGAGTCTCAGTGTTTCTGTTTTATTCTAGTCTCCTGCCAGAAAAAAACTTGACCCCTGTTTCAATCCAGGGGCTCAATGTTGACATTGTGGATTATACATAAATAACACATAGACAATATACTGGACTGGGCTAAAAACACTACTGCACTTTACAGGAACGGTCAGGGTCGTCTCTATTTTTTGAGGCGGCTGAGGTCCTTCAACATCTGTCAAACAATGCTCAGGATGTTCTACTAGTCTGTTGTTGCCACTGCTATCCTCTATGCCTGCTATGCATGCTGGGGGAGCAGATTGAGAGTTGCTGATGCTAACAGACTCAATATATGGATCCACAAGGGGATGGAGCTTGTGGGGATGTTGTGGGGATGGAGCTGGACTGTCTTAAGGTGGTGTCGGAGAGGCGAATGTTCTCCAAGATAAAGACAATGTTAGTAATAATAATAAAAATAATTCCTCCCACTCACTCCATGACATGCTGGCTAGCCACAGGAGCATGTTCAGTGAGAGACTGAGATTACCAAAAAACACCACTGAATGACACAGGAAATCATTCCTGCCTGTGGCCATGTCCCTGTACAACTCCTCCACCTAACACACTGTATGCACTGCAATAGCTACACCCTTTTTGCACATGCTCTTCTTTCTTATTCAGAAATTTATTAGTAAGTGACTTATGTGTATGTGTCCCACAGGTCTGGCCCGGATCTGGTATCAAGCTCGCACTGCTGGCTGACTTCTGGCATGATAAGATGTATGTCATCCAGATATGGGCCAGGCCTGGCATAGATGGCACTGTCTGTGTGATGGCATGCCACATCTGGCTCGATATAGCTCACATACTGCAAAGAATGACGGCCCTTTGGTGGCCCAGATCAGGTTTGCCAGAGGTAATCCACACACATAGGCCAGCACAGGACCACCACTGTGTCTGCAACTGGCCTTGTGCTCGCCCATGAGTGGGACACCGCTGGCAAACCAGATCTGGGCCACCAAAGGGCCGTCATTCTTTGTGGTATCTGGGCCATATGTAAGCACATTGTGTGGGCCAGATCGGCACCATACCAATTTTGCTATGTCGGATATATATGTATATATTGTGCTGTTTCTTATTTCTTGTATTGTCTTTTTGTTACTGTTTTTACTGGAGCACTGTAACCCACATAGTTTTCCCTAGGGATCAATAGAGTATTCTGATTCTCATTTTGAAACTTGTGTCAAAAAAGTTCACTGAACTTGGTATTTACAGAATGTTTTCCTTCATTGTGTGGTTGTGTGCATGAACCTAGCATAGTAGGATTTATTTCTAATGGTCACACGAATGTACGTCACAGCACGCTGCTGTGAAAGTTCAACTGGTATGCACAATTACTTCTCACTTCCAAGAATGCCGTGCTATAATGGGAAACTGAATTTGCACAGCACAAGCAATAGAAATAAGAGCGTTTCAGACCGCAGCAATCGGCATGCAGCGTCCTATGTGAAAGGGCCTTAAAGCTGTCTTTAAAATATGATGGAGGCTCTGTGGTAGTTTGGGGTGGCTTTTCAGCCAGTGTTGTTCAGGATTTTGTCACAGTATTTGGAATTATGAATGCAGACAAGTGTACTCTGATCCACCATGCAAAGCATCTGATTGGCAACAACTTGATTTTCAGTAAGTAAAAGGGCGTACCAGTGCCATTCCCACTTAACCGTACAGCAGCCAAGAGAAAGGTCAAGCTATGATGTCCTCTGTTGTTCTGGACTTTACACTGGTAAGCCCCACTGTGTGCAGGACTAAACTTGTCAATGGTGAAGGTTTGTCCATGTGCCTTTGGTGAGTCTTCTTTCTCCTTGTACCAGGTGTAATTAGCTGCTGGGTTAGCATCACTGCTACATGTCAGAGTCACTGAACTGCCTTCAGCTATCTCTCCAGACGGAGTCACTGACACAGAGGGAAGCTTTGGAGCATCTGGGAAATTATACAGATTATTCATTTATATTAGCATGCAAAGTATAGAGAAGCCTTTGGACAATGAAGAATACTTACACTGAACATTTATAAAGACATATGATGAGTTGATCTGTCCATACTGATTCTCTGATTTGCAGAAGTAGTTTCCTCTGTCCTCAGAGCTGATGGAGGTGAAATGATGACTGCCCTCTGGTCCTAGAGGCAGTGCTTTATTCTCCTTGTACCAGGTGTAGTTAGCTGCTGGGTTAGCATCACTGCTACAGGTCAGAGTGACTGAACTGTCCTCCACTATCTCAGCAGAGGGACTCACTGACACAGAGGGAAGCTTTGGAGCATCTGGAGGACAGTTTATAAAGCCTTTTATTACACTAACAAATATAGCAAGGCAAATATTTGCTTAGTGTGTGTAACTCATAAAAGCAAATGATGACCCTTAAGCCATGAATCATGTTACAGAATAATGTTCTATTACTTTGTCATAAAGGACAACATATTATTTCTACAAATCCACTGATGTTGTTTTGCCCAATAACTAAATAAACTGAGACTGAGTGTGCCACTTTAATTTGAGGGTAAATTGAAATTGTGGAAATCCTGTACTTTACTGTTTCCACAGTATTTACTTAAAATTGATTCCAGCACACTAAATACTCTCCTGCTACATTTATTCCTGCATAGATTCGCAGACTTGTGTAAAATGAGGGCCTGGTGTGTTAGTTAAATAGTTGTTTTTTTCCTACCTTTATGCAGATCAAGCAATAAAGAGGATTTAAGAATATTATTAAACTAAAACCATAGTCTAATTTCATGAATTTCACTATGTGTCTACAGTGAATTAACACAAAAAGAAACTTTGGAGCATCTGAGTGATAACATTTCAAGACACTTCATGATCTCTCAGTAATTACATATTCAGATTATCTAGGGTTAGAGGTAGTGCTAGGGCACAGTTTATCACTAATGATGATTTAGGTATCATAGGGTTAAATTGCACTTTTCTACTTACACTGGACATTTATAAACACACGTGAAGAGTTGATCTGTCCATACTGATTCTCTGACTTGCAGGAGTAGTTTCCTCTGTTCTCAGAGCTGATGGAGGTGAAATGATGAACGCCCTCTCGTGGCCAAGTCAGGAATAGCTCCTCCTTGTACCAGGTGTAGTTAGCTGCTGGGTTAGCATCACTGCTACAGGTCAGAGTGACTGAACTGCCCTCCACTATCTCAGCAGAGGGACTCACTGACACAGAGGGAAGCTTTGGAGCATCTGGAGGAAATATGCTAACATATGTTAACTGTAAATTAGGTCCTACCTGTTGTAGAACTTGATTGTTCTATGTAAAGCACCATATACAATCTTTAAACTTCTGCTTATTTCCTGTACAAGAAGAGCATCAGAAATTAGCTATAAAGAGAGGACTGTGTTAGGGTCACATAACATTAATTAACTAGGTGAGCCAGGATTGGCTGATCCTGGTTACGCTGTGGTTGGTTAGTTAACTATGATCATAGAAATCGTTTTTTTTTTCATTCATCGGGAAACAGATTTCTTACAAAGGCTATTAGAAAAAAGCAAATGGAAGAATAATATAAAATCATATCTGAATAAGATTAAGAGAAGCTGGTCAGGATAATAACATTTCAAATTCAGTCATTCTTTAGGGTGTAATCTATTCGTCTAGTTCATAATTGTTCAGGGGAGGTGTTCATACAGAGAAGAGTCCATAGACATCTGTCTTCTAAACTGTGGTTCTAAAAAGTGACATATGTGAATTATGCCGTGCTTAATGAAGCAGTGCCTCTATAAATATTGTGAGACAGGATATGCTAGATGATTGTGATGACCTGTAATGCTCTTTTTACTTAGTTGGAGTCAAGGCATTCACGACAACTGGCTCCACCAGTTTAGTCACTGAATAAACCTACTCCCAGGCAGGTTTGTCCTTACAGATATGTAAGCAGGAGGGGGGGGGGGTTGGCAAATTGTCAACAATTTGATTTGGCTGAAACTTAAATCCACTGACAGAGTGAGTTGAATTGCTCATTATGGACTTTAAATTGTTTTAGGTTTTAGGTTAGAGTCATGTGTAAAGTATGCACTGTTTTTTGGTAACTTACAAGAAGAAGGCTCCAAATATCAGCAGTTTCACTCACATTTTACATTTATACGAAGATGTTTGGATTTCCTGATTCCCAGCTCATTTTCTGCTGTGCAGTTATAAACTCCAGAGTCAGATGGCCGGATGGACGGGAGGCTGAGCTGTTTTGTAGTGGACAGGGGTGTTTGCCCACCTTCCTTGTACCAGGTGTAATTAGCAGCTGGGTTAGCATCACTGCTACAAATCAGAATCACTGAAATGTTCTCCACTATCTCACCAGATGGACTCACTGTCACAGAGGGAAGCTTTGGAGCATCTTGAGGAACAATAATCATTTGTTTAATAGATAGAAATAAGTATATTCACAAAAAGCCGAATGCTTACATAAAATTAGAAAAAAAAAATCGAATTGGGGGAAGTTCCTCTTAAAAAAAAACTCCACCCTTTGTGTTAGAGTTTGTCAGTTACACTGCACTTACACAGTGAAGCCGAGCAGTAATCTTCTTGTCCTTTCAAAGCACAGCAGATGCTGTCATTAAACCGAAGGCTGGTTATGTGAGGATTTTCTTCTGTGACCTTCTCTCCATTCTTGAGCCAGACATAAGAAACATCCCCGGTGCAGTTGCTCTTACACTTCAGCTCCGCCTTGGTACAGGACTCATTTACTCTTATTTTGGTCACCTCCACCTGCAGAGCTGGACAAGTGAAAAAAGTCCCAAAATAACACTGGTGTTCATAAAGAAATAAAAATAAAAGATTCACTCATTGTAAATGACTCATTGGCTACGACAAGGACGTACCCATCCAGGACTACCTAGGAATGTCCACACAAGGTGGCCCTAGAGTAGGTGGCTACTAGGTTAGCCTCAGGATGACAGTCTACACTCAACCTTCGATCAAGTAATAAAAATTGATGATCAGGTGGTGTACCCTGAATCTGACGTTCCCGTATTTTGTATTGATTATATTGGCAGATTGTATTGAGAGAGTGGCGACACTCTCATGCAGGACAACCACACACAGTTGCTGGTGCATAAAAGCCACCAGGAAATGATTTTCCAGGTGGCTCAATATAACCCGATGGCTGGTGACATGTGTTTTGACAAAACTCTGGAGCAAATAATGTCCCGAATTTATCGTCCGGGCATTCAGGGGAGATGTGTGCCAGTGGTGGGTACCCTGTCTGTCAGCAGGTCATCAAGCGACTTTGTGCCCTTTACCTTTAATGCAGATCCCTGGGCGCATCGTTCATGTCTTGCACAATCACAGTTTGTAGGTGTTATAATAATAACATACAAACTGTATGAATTACTTGGCATTAAATCTTTCGGGACTAGCGTCTATCACCCTCATATTGATGGGCTGGTGGAGCAGCTGAATAACACCATGATTCGCAGTTTCATCGCTGGTTAGACCCTATGTTGTTTGCTGTGTGGGAGGTGCTCCAAGCCTTCACTGGATTTTCTCCACTTGAGCTACTGTTTGGCAGAATTTTGTAGGGGGTGTTGGACCTGATTAAAGAAAACTGGAGAGAACATCCGAGCCTGGCGAAAGATGAGATTCTATATATTCTGGACCTAAGAGCAAAGCTGCACACGTTGGGGAGGTTGTCATGAGAAAGAGATGAGTTGGGGCCGGAGGTGCCAAATTCCACCATTCTTGCATTGTGATAGCCATCACAGACAGGCCAGAGAGAGGATGTTGCTGCATTGCAACAGCTGTTGGCAGATGTGTTCTCCCCCCTGCCAGCTTTACAAATCTTAAAGAGGGCCATTTTGAAACCGAGCCTGGCGTGATGGTGCATTTACAGCCCTACAGGTTACCTAAGCATAAAAGGCAAATTGTTCAGAAAGAAATGGCTGAAATGCTGAAACAGAACAGAAGAGTCGCACAGCTTGTGATTTATACCCATAGTTCTTTTTTAAAGAAAGATTGGTATATATGGTTCTGTGTTGACTAATGCAAAGTGAATGAAGTGTCATGGTTTGATGATTATCCCATGCCTTTTCCACTCCTTACAGTGTGCACCAATTTGTTGCACTTCAATTCATCTTGGTCAGGGGCCCCAGCCACCTTGCGATGCCTCAAAAACTGGGTGCTGTGGCTGCAAGCTGCATGTGCTGTCACCTATTTGGATACTGTTATTATCCACAGTGACACTTGGGTGGAGCATGTGCAGTGAGTGGGCTGCTGTGGTCCTGGAGTGCCTGGACCCACAACTTTCCCAAAGAAGTGTGTGGTTGTACGAAGGGAGGTATGGTATCTGGAATACCACTTGGGAGGTGGGCAGGTGCATCCATAGATGGACAAAACTGCAGCAATTGCATCCTGCCCGTGCCCCAAGACCAAAAAGGAGGTTAGGCAGTTCCTGGGGCAAGCTGGAGACTCCCGCCACAGCTTACCAGCTCCTTGACTGACCTCACCTGGAAGGTTGTACCAGATCTGGTCCAGTGGACGCAGGTTAACAAGGCTTTCTGTGGGGAACCCCTACTTCACACACCTAGATGTTCCTGTGTTTTTTTATTCTGCAGACTGATGACTTGGACATGGAGCTGTTTTGCCCCAACTGTTGGGGGGGG